TCCAACCACTCAGCCCCCCTCTTCAACCACCCAGCCCCGTCCTCTTCAACCACCCAGCTCCCATCTCCATCCACCCTACCCCCCTCTCCAACCCCTCAGCCCTCCTCTTCAACCACCCAGCCCCCCCTCTTCAACCACCCAGCCCCATCTCCATCCACACTACCCCCCTCTCCAACCACTCAGCCCCCCCTCTTCAACCACCCAGCCCCCATCTCCATCCACCCAGCCTCCATCATGTACTTACTTTTCTGAAGACTCAGGGGTGCTGGCTGGCTTGGCTTCAGGGGTGCTGGCTGGCGTTCCCACGTGTTCCTGCAGAACTCGAGCCCTGGAGTCACTACTGAACAAAACATTGAGACTACACTTTTTAGGAAACCCACCTCAACTAATACGATGTTGAGATGGGAAAGCCACCATCTGACCCCATTGAAAAGAGGCATTCTGATTGGACAGTACCTCCGGCTCAGGAGAAACTGCTCAACTATGGAGGAATTTACAATACAGGCAAAGCTACTCAATACTAGGTTTAAAGAGAGGGGATATCCAAACCGCTGTTTAAAATATGCATACCAGAGAGAACTGTACAGCGATAGGATGGAACTCCTTAAAGATAAACCAGTTTCTAACGAACAAACACCTATTTGTTGTGTAGCTAACTTCGATTCAGGATGGGATCAGGCTAAAAAGATACTAGGCAGATTTTGGCCTCTTATATCTCAAGATTCTCAGCTTAAGAAATCTTAAGGAATTTCTAGTACCTAGTTATCTTTCCTGCAGAAAGTCTGGACAAAATTGGCTATCCACATACAGATGTGGTTGTTGCGTGGCCTGTAGATACATAAACAAAGATTCCAAATGTCTCACAGACTCAAGTGATAAAGTGGTGTGCAATGTGAAACAATTTTTTAATTGTAACACTAAAGGCATTGTATACCTCTTGGTTTGTACATGTGGACTAAAATACGTGGGAAAGACCATTCGTCCCCTTAAAAGGAGAGTAATGGAAGACGTGCATTCTGTCAGAAACTTTAGGGATACCCCCGATGGCAAGACATTTAAGGAGCCACCACCAAGGGGACCCAGGTGGTTTGAGGTTTGCAGGGATTGAAAAGGTACTTTTGGGACGCAGAGGTGGTGATTTAGACCTTACCCTCCTCAAAAGAGAATGTTACTGGATATATAGGTTCAAAACTTTGGCCCCCAATGGGTTAAATGAGGGTTTTACTTTTACCCCTTTCAACGAAAAATGAGACCACTCAGGAGTACCTGTATTCTAGTTAATACAAGTATATTTTTATTATATGTACATAATGTCTATAGAGTGTGTATATACTTTCTTTACTCATTTTTTATTACTAATTATTCTGCTATACAGAGACTTAGGCTACGACAGTGGTTATAATATTTGTGAGCATTATTACAGCTAATGTACTATTTTGCCCTGACAAAAGAATGTGAATAGTGTTTTTGACTCTCTTAATATTTGGATGGGGGTCAATTTAGATGTGGGTAATGGGTTTACTCTCTAAAGTTTTATCGTACATAAAATACGTGGATTATATTCTTTGCTAGCCATCAGTGGGATAGTAGATTGACCTGCATTACTTGGCTGAATACCCTTTGATAATAACAGCATAAATGCACGTCCACATATTCCTATACTAGCCCCTTTTGTTTGAATTATTGTATTAACAGCCTGAGAGAGCGGCATGCATATAGTTAAGTATGCTTATTTGTATATTCATGGGGTCAACCTATCACTAGTATGTGACCAAATTAAAATAAAATTTATGAACAGTATTGGCACTAATGTGACAATCGTGATTCTCTGGCACCCATACTTTTTCTTTGGGCTATTTTGCCATGATATAAATACATAAGTACTGTCTTGACCTTCTTAAAATTTGGTTGAGTCTAATAGGTCCCCTTTGGACACAGCTGTCACGGTTCTCACTGCAGCAGGCAGACAGCCAGACGTGGTCGCCCATGGAGTTCCCAACAAGGGACTTGAACCAGGGAACTTCACAGTCCAGGTCCTGCTTCCTACCTCTGAGCCACAGCAGCTTTTGTATTCCACATGTCATTCTGGTCCTGTTCATCCTGGCATGTCTATTACTCTGGGGGCTGTACCTTGACTTTGGATGTGCTTCACCTGACCCTGATCAGACATTAGCAGGGTATTTGAACTCAGCCTCGCCCTGTGATCAGGATCAAGTCTTTGATCCTGTTGTGTGTTTCGTACCAGTGTTCCTGTTGTTTGATCTTCTACTTATTATTGACCCCGGCTTCTCACTACGTTTACTCTGACCTCTGGCATCCCTTGACTTCGGCTACTCCTCGTTGTTCCTGTCCTCTGGCATCCTTTGACCTCGGCTATCCCTTGACAATCCTGCTGTTTGAGTCCTTGCCTGTCCTGCGACTTGGTACTTCATTCTGCACAGCCCCCGTGCACAGACCCACAGGCCGGGTGAATTCTTACCTGACCACCTTGGCCTGTGGCTATCTGCAAGGGTGAGCAACATATCTGTGCTACAGACTCCCAACCCAGGTAAGACCCTGACAACATCAGTGGGTCTGATGGATGGGAATATTGACCATGCACTACTTGGATTAATATCCCGTGATATACACTGGGATTTAACACAGCTTAAATATACATACATATGTTCCTACATCAGCCCCACTTGCTAACATGATCATGCTATCCACCTAAGAGAGCGGCAGGTATATAGTTAATTGTGCTCGTCTACACACTTACTGTGTCAACCAATCACAAGTTGAAATGTCAATTTGGGGATGTGGCCTGTTCGGACTCCCCTTCTATCTGTTGGCGTCATTTTGCTATAAAATAGCCTCTGTTGCAGACAGATCCTTTTGTTTAGCCTCGGGAAGAAGGCGCGTTTAATAGCGCCGAAACACGTGTCAGGCAATAGGCAGGGAGACTAGTTAGATGTTGGTACTTGGATTTATTTAGTTATTTTAGCCAGTTGGAAGGACTTCTTTGTTTGGGCTGACTCCATTTTTTGCTATCACACCGACAGTGGTGGGTGATTAGGACAAGAAGGAAAGGGGGGGGCATTGATTTCTTATCTTCTCACTTATTGCTACATTATTACTTTTGATCCCACATTAGGGGATATTATGTATTTCTCGTTCCCCATGTGCGTTCATAGCTGAGCAAGACTTTACTTCTGATACATTGTTTCAATGTATCATCCCATTAGTGACTTTATATCAGCTTATTAGCACAGTGTACTTTATTAAGTAGCACTGCTTTTGGCCTTATATCCCCCCTATGTGCAGCATTAGTTGGCTTTTTTAGCCTTATAGTTTCCTCCCAAGTGACTATTAGTGTATTCCTGTGGGGGCAATTATATATTTAACTTTACAAATGCCATGATAGATATTTACATATAACTATTACAAGTGTACTGCATTGGGATTTTTTCTCTTCTTCTTGTAGATTAGATTCACTCTAGTGAGTCTACAATTAGAGTATATAATTAGAGTATATTCCCAATAGGAGATATCAGTAATTTATTTATCTACTTATCCAATAGGAGATATCAGTACTTCCTTCATTTACCTATCTAGTCTCCCTTTTTAATTATTTCTTTGTTTATGAGTATTTTATTATCTCTATTAAAAGTTATGTTTTATGTATATAGAGTTTAATTGAGGGGCTTCCTACTTTGACCCTGTGGGTCTCCATTTTTTCTTTTTCTATACAAGTTATGTGAGGGTTATCCCCTGCTTTGGTTGCCCCTGACACACACTTTACTGGTTACCCTAGGGGTTCCTAGTTTTCTTCACTTTCTCTATTTATGAATCAGCAACAGTCATTGAAAAATAATTTGTCCATCTGCAGATGAAAACTAGGTAAGGTAATAATACAAAACAAGATAAGGTGATAGTACATACCATTACTTTGCTGCAAGGACTATAGTCCTAGAGTTAACTTATTCATACTTTTTCAAAACAATAAACAAAGTATTATTAATAAAAAAAAAAAAAAAAAAGGAAATACACAACAAAGGTACTTCTTAAGAGTGCAGTTAATTTTTCAAAAGCAAACAAACAAAACAGTGTCACTCACTTTTAAGATTAAGAGTCTGACTAATAAAACATTATTACCAGCCACCAGACTGATATAAAGTACAGCTGTGGAGGGTGGGGGCTTAAGAGGGAACAGGGGAGCAACATTATACTGGGTTTATATTTAGATGTGTATCATCCCAATGCTTCATTTCAGCCAATGAAACAGAAAAACTTAAACCATCCTGATTTAAGATCTCTAGCATCTCATCTGCAACATTTTAATCAACAGTGACTAATCCACAAACTTTTACCTGTTGGTATGCTGCCAAACAAAGAAATTGTCTTAATGGCACTAGTACCTTCATTTTAAAATGATCATCAAACAGTGTTATTATTCTTAATAAAGCGCCAACAAATTCCACAGGATCTAGATAGTTTTACTGTTTTACTAAACATATTCTATTAAATCAGTTGGGCATTAATTTTAGACCCATTAAGATCAACACTTCCTTTTATTGATATCAGTGTGCTACGTGAGATGAGAGAGTTATTTGTCAGTTGAAGTGCTATCTGTTACAGTGCTAGAGTGTGGGTAGTGAGAGAGGCAGACTTTGAAAGATGTGAGTAAATTTTGTGAATGGTGGAACGTGAAGGATTACAGTATAGTGGTTTAAAGGAGCACTATAGTGCCAGGAAAACAAACTAATTTTCCTGGCACTATAAGGTTATTAGGTCCTCCCCTCCCTCAGGGCCCCCTTCCCACTGGGCTGAAGGGTTTAAAACCCCTTCAGCCACATACCTTAATCCAGCGCCGGGTTCCCTCGACACTGGTGACCTCTCCTCCCCCTGCCGACATCAATGCTTTCCTATTGATGGGTGATTTTCAGACTGAGAATCGTGGAAGCGGCCTCTAGTGGCTGTCAGGGAGACAGCCACTAGAGCAGGGCTGTCCAACCTGCGGTCCCCAGATGTTGCTGAACTACAACTCCCATGATTCTTTCAATTAAAAAGGTAGCCAGGGATTCATGGGAGTTGTAGTTCAGCAACATCTGGGGGGCCGCAGGTTGGACAGCCCTGCACTAGAGGCTGGATTAACTCTCAATGTAAACATAGCAGTTTTTAAGTGAGCTGAAGTGGTCTGGGTGCCTATAGTGGTCCTTTAAAGGAACTTCCATTTAGTTGTGGGATAAAGTGAAGATTAAACTTGCCTTAAACTCAACCCCTTCCTCAATGACCCCATAATGCGGAGCAGAGAACTTCCCCTGGACATGGTGGCTAGAGATTTTGAATGGTTGGAGGTTTTAGGACTAAAGAGTTATAAAAATTCTATCAAAACTTTGTCTGTCACATTTGAGGAGCTTTCTCAAAGTAATTCACTCCATCCCAAAAATATGCCTTCTTGTTTAGGAGACTTCCTTCCTGTATATCTAGGAGGAACTTTCCAAGTTTATGCAACCATATCGGTACTAACGAGCCTTGATAAGCGGATTACGGAGTTTTCATAAAGGATGAAAGGCTCACACCTTCACAATTTATTTGTGCATCATTGTTCTGGCTGTAAAATGTTCCTGTATAAGCACTCTTACACAGTTACATTGTGAATACCTAGTTTATTTCTTGATTGAAGCTATAATTTGTTTTCAATTATTGAAAGTGGGTACATTATCCTGGTGTATTGTCTGACATTGTTTGTATATCTACATGTACTGGTTACTAACAAAAAGCTGTTTTTTTTTTAAATGGGTCACCTGCACAGAAGTTCAGTAACTCAAGATGAAGATGTTGGTACTTTATAAATAAATTATCACAATAACATCTGCAGGAAATTGTTTTAAATGAGTTTGAAGACAGCCTTATGATTGCAGCCTATCTACAACCGAAGATTGATGGATAGAGAATGATACTTGAACCTCCAACAGGCAGATGGATATAGCAGGGGAGTGAAGGGGAAGCACAATGAAGAGAGTGGGAAAACATTGTATGAAATATTAATTCATATTCAAGGGGAAAAAAGTATAATAGAAAAATTAGGTTCACCAGTATGTTTTCATAAACTCTTTTTTTAATTAACAAAATGGGCTTTCTGTTTCAGCTGGAAAAAAATGTGCAGTTTCAGCTTGCTCAATCCAGTTGTTTTAGTGAATTGGAGAGCCAGATGTAGGTGCCTTCTTGCAGAGGAGACAGTTGAAAACTGCATCACCTGGACATTGGGGAAATAACTATTTGGGGTCTCTTTTATGTGATCTTATCGCCCCGCTGTGATGTTCCTTCCTCTCTCTCTTCCACACCCAGTGAGTGGCCCTTGTGACATGATCTGAAGTAAACTTTGCAAAGTAACTTAATGTCTAACTGTTTCAAAACAATAACATTTGAACATATTATAAATGACTAATTACTGTATGTACTGTTTGCTTGTTAGTCAACTAAATTGATTACCATAGCATTACCAGAGTGCTGGACTATATTTTGTATATTTCCAATTTTAAAAAAAGTAGATCTTATAACGACAATAAAAGTTCATAGGCCGTTAGTAGCTGTGGAACATTGAGACAAGGTAGTCACAGGGGGATACACTGGGATCCTATAAGATCACCACATATTGGGTTCAATATAATACAAAGAACATTAAGATTAGGCCGAAGTGCAACATCAGCTCTACACGGTGCCACAGAAGATACCTGTATTGTATTAAAGTGTAGGTTAAAGGACACAAAGCAAAATGACTAATAAACAGCGTGAGAGGGAACGGGTAGAGCGGGCTTACATAGACAGACCCCCTAACCTGATTATAGTTTCATTGGAATCCTCTACGCAAAAGCTAACCAAAGAGCCCTGAAATCCGAGGCCGGACAGGGCCAGTGTGATTACTTAAATACTCTGATGTAAAGCTTGTTGTTCTGGGAGAAGGAAAAAAGTGCACTGTAGGTTGTTTACCCAAACACCCATTGTAATGTACAATATTGTAATCTTTGCCAACAATGTGGGGTACTGGGAGATATTTATGAGCAAATGTCTGTTTTTCTTTGTGCATGCAAAAATTAAGAATAAAAAAAAAAAAAGTAGATAATCTTTTTCTTTGCACAATTCTCTGACCAAATAAGTTCATTGAGCAATAGGCATAGTGAACATAAGTGCTCAGTCTGTATCATGGGTTCTTCCAGACAAACAATACAATCTATAGTTATGATGAAACCATTTAGCAAGATGTAAGTGTTAACAGTTAAACATTTGTCCATGCTTTGTACTAACCTCATGACAATAGGTTTGGCTGACAAGGGCTCGATATCCCATTCTCTTAAATAATTTGTTCTTTAATTCTGTAAACTCTTGCTGTCTTATGTACCAATTTTTACCAAGAGCCCAAAGGAATATTTGCTGTGAAAATTTCTCGTCTTCCATTATATCATTTGCAAGAAGTCTAAAATAATGGTTCAAATAAACAGGAAATTCAGCTGGAGGCATGTAAGAAAGCATTTTAATGACATTACGGTCTTTAGGCCATAGTAGGCACAGAAAATTTATTTGAGGAGCAGAAACATGTTATTGATTGATACGTTTTTCAGGGATGTGCTTGTTGTGTATTTCAACAAATATACCTTAAGAATAGGTAAAGAAATATAATCTAAAATGGAAGTCAGGTAACTTGTCCAGCTCACCTACTGACTAAACACACTACTTTTCCAACTCATCACAGTTCTAGCTATCTTCTTGAGCTACCCCCAAGTTGCAGTGAAAACAACTGAATATTAGATAATTGAAAAACTGCCCACAAGATAAATTGCACCTTTAGTAGAGTTGAGGAATAAACTTAGGAGTCTTTAGGAGTAAATCCTACAAACTACAATTCAAAGTAAGGAAACAAAACAAATGGCACCCTGATAACATATAGAACGTAGACTGGCAGATGAAGGTTGCTTTTGGGGGGGATTCAGGGTTTGAAGACAGCATACTACAATGTCTATGTACGTCAGTGTGTGACTTAAAAAAGTAACACTATAAATGTTTACCTTTATACAACTGTCACCAGTTAATTAGGTAATAAAATATGAATTTTACTTTGTTTATATGTTGCTATAGTAAATGATCATATGACTATTGCCATGTGTTCCTTTTTTGCATTCAGGTGGCATTCTCATGTGATCTATATTGGGATACATAAATAGTAGACATGTGCAATTTATTTCGGTCCGAATGTGAATTCGGATGAATTTCAGGCAATTCGGACATTCGGGTACTTCCGAATGTCCGAATAGATGAATTGCTGAATTGTCAAAGTCACGAAGTTCCAAAATTACCGAATTTCCACAGTTCCGAAGCACAGTATTGCCTAAGAACTAATATACTTACCCAGTGGAAGAATGAAGAATGTTACACGGTATACAATTGTAAATAAAAAGTATACAAACATAGCCAGGATTCAGCTGTAAGCATTTGCAACACTTACAACAATCAAGTAACATACATTCATATAAAATGGAAGTTACTTATCCAGTCAATGTAATGACAGGAATGAATAAGTAGATAACTCCCTAATTCCCACGGTATTAGGGAGCTATCTACTAAAAGGCTGAAAGACCTAAATTGGTCTTTCAGACAAATTTACTAATACTAAGTAAAAATGACTTAGTATTAGTAAATTATGCCCCTACTTGCTATACCGCGAGTAGGGGCATGTCTATTAAACAGTGAGCAGCCTGTCTCTGCTTACTGTAAAAAAAAAAAAGTCCCCCCTCCCGAGCCCCCACCCGGACCTAAAGGACCTAAATGCCCTAAAGTAAAAGAATGGGGGTACCTATTGTCCTCCCCCCTGAACTCCCCCGGCCCCCACCCCAGTGAGCAGTATCAGTAAATTTGGCTGAAAGACCAATTTAGGTCTTTCAGCCTTTTGGTAGATAACTCCCTAATACCTGAAATTCTGAAATGTCGAAGTTGCCGAAGTTGTCGAAGTTCCGAATTTCGAAATACCGAACCGAAAATTTTCCCCATGCACATGCCTAATAAATAGGCAGTTGTATGGATCTTTGGGAGGATCCTCAGGAAGGTTGGATAGACTGAAACGGAACTGCTCATTCACGTGTGCTAACTGTACGAATAAAAAGCACATCACTGGAAAATCTTCTGTGTGGTGGAACTTTGCTTTCATCATGCATTCCTAATGCCTTTCTGTAGTGTAATGATATTTGGGATTTGATATTCCTAAAACCATAAAATAAACAAGGATGCAAGTATATTTTTTAAGGGCTAGGTATCTCCCATCATTTATTGTATGGAAATGAATTAATAAGGGATATTGGAGATGCATACTGGGCATTTTGAAAATCATTTGTTTATAGTTAACATATAAGTTAAATTAATAAACAATACTTACAGGGCAATAAAGAAATTCATCCACGTGTACTCCGTCATCAGAAGATGGGCCTTTTTAAAGTAGGTAAACACCATTGCAATGAGATACTGAATTTAGATTAGAAAGAAAAGCATTAAGATGTTACAAGAATGACTACATTTCACATTGCTATACTTTATAATAACACATTGTGTGCAGTGCAGAATTTTCTGCATATTAATACATTAGATGTTAATTACATAAAATCTATATCCATTAAACAGCACCCTGCTATAGAAGATATTCCAAGTGGCAATTATCTAGCTTCTGGGCCAGATAGTGAGGAATAATGCGTATAAAATTCAGTAGTAAAATCAACTTGAATAACCTAATAGAAATATAATCCCTACTTTAACCTGTTACAGAAATCCTATCACAGAGAGAACCAATTTATAGGTTTGTGTTCTAAAGGGAAAATATAAAACTGGCTTTTATTTTCCTTAGCAATATTGTTGTTTGCTCAAATATGTACAGTAATAGGTTGTGTTATGCTATCAATAGTTATACGTAGTGATTATGAATCTGCCTTTAGCTAAACAAACCAACACCAAAGGGAGACATTAACAGTTAATATCAACACTGATAACCAGAACACTGATAAGCAGAACACAAAAACCCTGCTGTATCAACACTGATCTGAAAGTCTAGCTGACTTAAATAATTTTTCCA